AAATGGGTTCCTAATAACTTTGGAGAAAACGTTTGCAACAAAGATACCTCAGCTCACTAAGGGCACCAAAGACATGTCTATTGATGGTTTTGCCTGGCCAGCCAGGAGCGGGTTCATTGATCGCTTTCAGCGTTTCTCGCAGAGTAGTCTTCAGTCATTTGGCTTGTTTGTTAGTCATTCGGCCATACCGTACTACCCCGGTTTGAAAATATTTCGCAGACAAATATAGCGAGAAGGATGTAATTGACTTTGCGATGGCTAAGAACAGCGAACACTTTCACCCTACGCATAATAAGCGAAAAACTGTTATTAAAATGACGATCTTCATCCATGTTCACGCCACCTTTCTTTACATGCATCATAGTTATGATGATGTGATAATGTCTTCCATATTAAAGGCACTTAATGATATAAACGCATATATTTGGGCAACATTAAATGCTGAATTTTGATGTTGAACACCACGAAAGAAACCGTTGCCACGTGCATGAGGCACCTTCAAAATGATCCAGCATTCGGAGGTTAGACAGTGTCATGAAATGATTTCATAATTTTTTTTGAAGTAATACAGACTGAGGTTCCAAAAATTACCTGGATGGACAATACGTTTTGAATAGGTATGCAGGATAGGTAGGTACGACATGATTCATCGCATAGTTTGTCATCACCGGTCTAAAGGCTTTCAGAAAACATCCAGACTGACGGCAGGACGAGCTGAAGAAGGTCATTGAATCAAGATTGAGGAAAGGCAGAAATTTGTGAGATACTCTTGGAAACGTTCTCATTCAGCAGTGATCATGTGATAGGGATAATTCAGTGCTGTCGACGAATTTTGCCTCGCTGTAAATCCACTTAGCCCTTTTCAATTAAACGTATCTAAATCCGCTATTGGAATACATGACGCAGTCAATCGGCTGAGTGGAAAGCCACATAACATCGAGAAACTTCAGACATCAGGCAGAAGAAAGCTGCTGTTTTATCCAAGAATGTTGTCCTGGCAAGGATATTCTGTTATGTTTGTTAGCAGCAACGAATTCGGATAAAGGATAATGCAGGAAATATTTCGTTTCTTATTTCTTTCCCTAGATTAGGGCGGGCAACTTTTACGCTACCTGGTAGCAGAGTCATATTAGATTTAATAAGTGAAGCAACGAAGCACCTTCAGCTGGTCTCTACTCAACGAATATCCATCAAGTATATATAAATATACAAATTTTATCAGAGCAGAAGAAAAATCGACATCGTGTTAAAACATTAAACAGTGTAAACTGATGGCTACCTTTGAATGTTTCCCCGATGGGTTTATATCTATCAGCGCTGAAATAATCATGCTAATTTTTTGTAAAAGCAAGCAATTTTCATAACTGATTGTCACCTTTGTCATTTCGCTAAGTTATCCAAAGATAATTTTACAGTTCCCTTTAGTAAGAAATGGCCTGACCACCCGGGCAAATTGTGCTTATCCACGTTGGTCGCCTGCAGTGCCAAATAGTTGATCACCACATGATTGCAGAAAAGGTGCCTGAGCTGATATCCTTTGGTTTTTACGGCGGATATGTAATACAGTGATAACGGCGACAGACAAATTACAACTTATATCTTATTCACTGACTATTACTTAAACCCGAAGACGAGCTGAACGGTACCTTTGACGGAGCCTGGTGACAGGGACGTGAAAAATATTCAATTTTAAAACTTATTATATTGCAGTGGCGCCTCAAATTAAACTCGTGAAGAGTGACTCATTCGAAAGTTGCAGCTGTGACATAATCACGTGTCTCTGCTGGAGCGAAACGCAATAGCATGCATTCGGCTGCTGCTCAGAATTATGAATTCAATTAGGAACGTGGCGTCGTTAAGCCTTAGGGATACGCTGTCTTGCGCTCTGATGAGCAGGCTGCAGCTTCTTCATTCATCTGGACCCCCAGCGACACGATGCTGTCATTTCCTATTTTGGTAGAAGGCGGCCAGCAAACGTAAAAATTCCCACGAATCGATGCTTCTCGTAGCTTCGAGTACAGCATTTGAACGCAGGATGGTTGTAGCTCTATTCAGGTTTTAAATTTGAGTCATAACTATATGAAGAGAGAACTCATGTCCTGCGAACCGTGTCTGGTTTGTGACGATCAGACAATCAAAAGCCAGAGAAACAGCTTCAAAAGTCGAGAGTCACAGGTTTCACCAGTGTTCGTCTTTCAGCACTTTTCAACAATTTCGTTCATAATCGCACATGCTTATTATCCAGAGGTTCTTATTATGGATTTTATTATATATTTTCCGTAGAAATAAAATACACTGCAGCAACTAAGGGACATATGCTAAAAAACAGTCGCAGACTGAACCTACTATAGAAGAACGCCACAAGAATGTCCTATATACATTTTCCCCTTCTTTGCTGAAAAGTCTTTTTGGAATTTAAAGTTCCATGATATGGGAACGCCATCGCCTGAACACTGTACTGCTCAAAAATGTGGGCGATGCGAATATATTAAATTGGGAAACCATGAAGTTTCTTCATCACCTGTTACCTCGACACTGACATTATATTGGTAGAGTTTACTAGTAAAATCGCTCTAAGGAATAGATCGAAATGGTCACCGGTCATCATGCAAAAGACAGCTACTTCATATGCCCATGTGAAACATTTTAAATGGAAGTAGCCTTTGCCAGATAAAAGTTAAAGCGTTACAGAAATAAGGTGCGTACTCTCTTTTCCTCCATTCCATAAAAAATCGAAAAAATGATGTTCATGTAGTAGGTCTCCATCAAGATTCAGGTCACAGTAAGACCACTTCGTTGCTTGTCTCAATATGGTGATTTAGTCTTGTATCTATGAACTACATGTGCTCAAATGTCATTTAGCGGTGGCCTGCATAAACGATTTCCCAGACAACCGAAGTTACGGACAGTGCATTTTTGCCATGTCAGTGTGGTTAACCGACATAAGACAGTTCTAATCCGTGCCATCAGAAACTACCATTACGGTAGTTGAAACATAATTACCGTGTTCAGTGCCTGCCATGGAGAAAGCCGTTATAATCGGTGTGCAAAGGAGTCTTTCTTCGGCCCGACATGGTGATGCAGTCTTGCATCCATTACTATATGTATTATAATACCATCCTACTACTATGTCTGGATAAACGATTGAAAAAAGAGTATTTTATACTTTTGCCGTATTAAATCGATTAAGTGACACGAATCAGTCAATTTTCAGCCTGCCGGATTTACCCCTCATCTTGGTTTGTAATGGATGATGCTGCGTACTTAACTATGTG